AGCCTTTGCCTGAGGCTATCCGGCAAATGCCTCTGTGCAGGGCTTGGGCGGGGTGGGTCCCAGGGGATCTACAGGGCGGGCGGGGCGAGCAGTTATGGCTGCTCTCAGTTCCGTCCCCAGCAGCTCTGCAACAGCTGCAAACCTCGGAGAGAAAGCTGCCTTCCCACTTCTCCCATTTGAGTCTGGGTCCCTAGAGACTCGCCTGGATCTGGAGCTCAGAGTCTGAAACTCCCTCCCGATTGAAAACAACAACCGCGCCCTCCGCTGCCGGCCCGCTCCACATGCACTTCGCACCTTAGTATTTCACCTCCGCACTGCGCCTCCTCTGAGTCTCAGTATGGATTTCTCTTTCCTTCTAGTTGTAGAATCTCTCCTCAGCCAGCCTTCCTGTGGTTCTGGGTGATCGAGTGAAATTATTTTTGACCCACATTCTAAGTTACTAAATCACCAGTCCATTACTGTATTGTGTTCCAAGAGATTTTTTTTGTAAGAACGAAATTTGGAATTTGGAAAACCATTTTCATTGAATTACTATTCTAAAGGGTGGTTCAATGTCCTTTCTTAAAGTAGCCAGCAGAAGCCACCCTGCATGGCTTATCTGTATTGCTGGTACTGCCAGTCTGGAGTTTAGGTGCCCAAAACACTGTGGCACTCAAGGGGCCTGAGAGCTCTGGGCAAAATGCACAGTGGGCACACTTATTCTGGGCACTTCTGGTTCCTTTTCAGTGTTCCTTCTCAGAAATGTTGACCTCTCTTCCCCGTGTGTCAAATCAAGATTCCCTTGTTATCAACGTGTTTAGAAGAAAGCAGTCTTGATTGTTGAAAATAGTCTTATTTTAAAACTAATTCTTATAAAAATATAAATAAATAATTAACCCAAAAACCTCACTTCCAGGTATGTTTGCATTTTAAAAGAAGCACCTGAGGCTAAGGAGTCCCAGTTGGATGTTAATCAGCTGTGCTTTGCCAGCTTTGGCTGTAGCCACAGGGCAGGCCATGTTTAATGGTGTGTGCCCCCTGAGGATTGTTCCATATAAACATGTGTCACTCATATTTGAACATGTGTTGGCTCTCTAGAAGCACACTTTCTTTAGAGCATATTTTCTCTTAAAAAGATAATGCAAAGCCATTTATTTAATGACATTTTTTATAGTTTTGAAAGTAACAGCAAAGGCAGCTTCTGTTTACTTAGAAGACACAGATTTGTTGATTTTTTTTTTTTTTTGGTTATCCTGAAATTCAGAATATATTTTAAATATCTAAACTTTGGAATATATTACTACAGTTGACCTTGAACTACACAGAATTGAACTCTGTGGGTCCACTTAGTCTTGTATTTTTTTCAATAAATACAGTACTATAAGTGTATTTTCTCTTCCTTACGATCTTTTAAAGTAACATTTTCTTTTATATGTTGATCAACTATTTATGTTACCCGTCAGGCTCCCAGTCAACAGTAGGCTGTTAGTAAAGTTTTGGGGGGAGTCAAAGCTATACGCAGATTTCAGCTGTGCAGGGAATCCGTGCCCCCTTACCCATACGTTGTCCATACACTGTATATACACTTTCTCCTGCAGATTGAGAGCTTTTGGGACCTGAGTGAGAGAATCCAGCTTTTTTAGCTCTAACAGCCATTCACAGGAAACCTTTCTGAGCTTTCTTTTCTCTGTCAAGTAGTACCCCTAACGTAAAACTTCAGATAGTAAATGAAGCTAAAGACTAAAGGCCTATCTGGAAATAATTGTATTGACTCTAAAAATAAAATGAGGAAGTAGAAACAGGAAGCAGAGAGGGAAAAGAAGAGCAATCAAGGTTCTTTCACTAGAATGCCTCCAAAAAGAGACATTTGCTTAACTCAGCTTGTTTTACTTGAAGTGGAGAGGTATTGAAAGTGATTAGAGAATGCCCTTGTGAAACTGTTGATAGGGAGTTTTCAAGAGCCTGGCCTGTTTATGTCTGAAGCGAATACCTTATATGTTAACATTAACTTTGTGATAAATGGCATTCTGGACACCAGAGATAAAAAAGACTACTTTATCTTTCTTTGCTCTAACTTTGCCTGTGTGCAACTTCAATTTGCTACATATTTCTAAATGTCACATCTGCTCACCAGAAATTCAGGTAAAATTCTTCTTGGCATATTATGTGTCTAAATAAATATACCTGTCAGCGTCCATTCTGTCAAATTTAGATCTTCCCATCACTGTTTTGATAGCTGCAATAGAGTAAAAATTCTCCAAGTAAAGAATTGATTTATTCCTAAAGTTGTTTATAAAAACTGAGAAGCTGTTTAGGGAGAGTGAGCAAATTTCTAGACCTGTACTATATCTAAATTTGGAAATTCTCTTTGGTCAGTGGCAAAGTTAAAAATCCACTAAACTTGAAAAACATTGATCCTCCTAAAGAGGAAATCCAGTCTTCCAGAAACTATTTAATAATAAAACTTGTTTTAGAGTTTGCCTACATAGACTATAAAATTTGGAGAACTCAGGGAAGTCAGCTTTATTTCTGATCTTACAGATAATCTTAGGGGCACAGTTGAGAATTTGTGAGGAAAGGAGAGAAGCAAAGTCCTTCTTCACAGAGTTAGAATGGAAAAGGCCTTAGAGTCTAAGCCTCATTTGAGGGTCCCTTCCATACCATCCAGCAGCTCTGCTTTCAGCGGTGGTGAGCTTTGTAACCAAGGTGGCCAGTGGGTTGTTAGAAATGTCTTCTTTTGAACCAAAAGCACAGATCCAGTCAGGTCAGGGGAGAGGTGAATTCAAGTATGGGCAAGCCAGACAGCATGGCGGGGGGTGGTAGAAACAGACTGTATAACCAGAGGAAATGTCTTCTTTTGAACCAAAAGCACAGATCCAGTCCAGGTCAGGGGAGAGGTGAATTCAAGCATGGGCGAGCCAGACAGCATGGCAGGGGGTGGTAGAAACAGACTGTATAACCAGAATCCTTGGTGAAGGTAGATTCAGGCTGGGGGTGGCCTATAATTGAGGATAAAATAATCTTTTTACTGAATATTAAAGGAGTGCTTGTTAATTATCGAAAATGAAGAAAAGTACAAGCAAAGTGAAATTGCTTGTAATCCACCATCAAGAAATAATCAATGTATACCTCTCCAGTCTTTTGCTACTGGCCTCACAGTTATGACAGTGCAGTATTTCTTTGCCAAAAGATGATTACCAATATGGATATCATATTCTAATTGGTCTGATCCTCATATCACCTGCCAGTCTTTTTTTCAGTCTACCATAAAGTCCATGGTTCTACCTTTGTTTTAGAAATAATAATCCTATTAATGACATTATCACCTTAAACCACCCTTTTTTAAATAGGAATCCTGCCTCAGGAGAAGATTCTGTGGTCAAATACATTTGAAAAATGTATAAGCCCACCCTTCTTAGAGAATAATAACACATCTTAGCATATTAAAAACTCAGAATGATTCTGCTATTTAAAAAAAAAATCCGTTTAATATTGTTTAACCCAATGTTTTCCAGGAAAAAAAAAAGAACCATCTCACACTGGAGTTCCTGATGGACTGTTTTAAAGTAGGGAACTGACACAGTGGCCTATTCTTGTCCTATTCCTCTTAGTCCATCAAAAAGCCTTTTGCTACTGAATTGTTTTATTGCCTGTCATCACTGTCTGAAAAATTCTCAGGTAATACAGTTATCAAGTTGTGACTGTGCCCATAATATCCCTTGGCAGGTAGGCCTATTCATTACAGTTGGGAATGAACCTGAGTAAACCTTAAAAGGAACAAAAAAAGATTGGTTGCCTTGTTGAAATTTATTATTATTATTATTCCAAGCTTGAAGAAAAATATAAGAAACAATAAAAAAATCCTTGTGCTCACTTACATATCTTTCAGTTCCTGGCATTTTGCTATAATTGCTTCAGACCTTTATGTGGGGGGAGCGGGGAGAGGATATTCCTAAGAAATGAAACCCCACAGATGGATAGAAAGACCGCAACCCTATAAGTGACATTCTTGACTCCCAGTTTCTTGCTTTATGTATTTTCAAGTACAGAATTAGCGTAAGCAGCACCAACCAAAATAAAGAGCATGCCGCAATCACCTCACCTCAGTTACCCACTTAGTGATTTTTAAGGAGAGAAAAGGGGAAACCTTATGTTTGCTTGTAGTGCTATCATTTGCTTTTGAAGATTCACTAAGACCTTTATTTTCAAGAAACTCATCTTTCTCCTGCCAGCCTGGTGTCATTACAAACTTTCCACCGTGAGTTGTTCAGCTGTGCAGACTTCCTTTGTTTTGGTAGCATTGTCCATTTTCAAATTACTTTACCATTTAGTTGACTGATTTTAAGATACTTCAAAAAAGAGAGAGATAATTTAGTAGAGTTTTTTTTGCCCAGAGGGCAGGGTAAACTTCTAATTACTAAACATTTGCTCTTTTTACTGTCCTGCAGTGACCCTTAGAAGTTCCAGGGCACCTTACCTCATTCTTAGCTCTGAATGCTATATATGTTTAATTTTAACTTTCTATCCTTGAACCTCTCATGTATGTAGGATCTCTGATTTTCTCATGTGTGCAGGGTTCCTATACATAATGTATGTAATGAAGTTTGCTGATTTTCTGTTGTTATTCTGTCTCGTGTCTTTTTTATTATTAGAGCCAAAGAATCTTGAGGGTAAAGGAAAGTTCCTCCCACACACCCTCATACTTTTATGTTTTGGAGTTAAAAATTTTGTTTGTGCAAATAGGGAAGCAAAATTTGCCACTGCAAAATGTATTACTTTGGCATGATAACTGTTTTAAGGAACAATAGACTCAGAAAGAAGCTTTGGCCTTCCCACAAATTGACTAAAAGAATTTAAGATAGAAGGCCTGTTCGGAAAGAACTATCACCATAGATAACCACAGTATATGAACTGGCTGGGGCAGACAGGGAGGAAACTTACCTAGCAAGGCCCATTTGATCGAAGTCCTTCTTGGGACCCATTGTCTCTACAGGGCACAGTAATATTTGTTTACTAAACATTAACTCTTTGATTTCCCTGTGAATTGCCTTACTTTCCTTTGAAGTCCCAGACCCTTACCTCCTTCTTCTTAGCCCAAATGACATGTATACCCATTTTGCCTACTATCTTTAGAATTTTTCATGCTTATGTGAATTCCCCATGCATATGCATTAAATCTGATTTCCTCCTGTTAATCTGAGTTGATGTAAGAAATATCCAAACCTGTGGAGAATATGTATAAGAGTTTATTTGAACCAGACAGACAGTATATGCCAGGGAGCAAGATCTCAAATGCTCTGCATAGAATTTTAATGTACCTATTTCTAACAACTCTGGTATGGAATTCTGTATTTTTGTCCTTCTCACAGTGAAATACATTGGTTGGCAATGCTGTACCATAAATAAAATGATGAATTGGTCATATATTCCAGGGTGAGGTAACCAAGGCTCTGTGTTTTGTATTGTGAGGACATTGTGATCATGACATTTTTCCTGTATTCTTGGAAAATGAACACCAGAAGAGTTCTTGGGTCAGATTGTGTGTGTTTTTTGTGTGTGTTTTTTAAATTTTTTTTTAAAATATATTTTATTGATTTTTTACAGAGAGGAAGGGAGAGGGATAGAGAGTTAGAAACATCGATGAGAGAAACATCGAAGATTGTGTTTTAACAGGTGTTGCTAAAACCTGGTTCTCGTCTTCTAGGGTGGTAGAAGAGGAGACACGGCGCTCCCAGCAAGCTGCGCGGGATAAGCAGAGTCCCAGCCAGGCCAACGGTTGCAGTGAGCACAGGCCCATCGACATCCTGGAGATGCTCAGCCGAGCCAAGGATGAGTATGAGAGGGTGAGGCTGCGTGCCCCTGGGTGGACCAAAGGGGAGGAGACTTGCAGGGGACTCATGGACTGGGGAAGTCACCTCCAGGGCCAGCAGAAATAATTAATTAAAAAAGAAAACCTGTCTTTTAGTTTTAAGCCTAAGAGATAATAAATTTGCTTACCTTACAGTCTTTGACTTGACATGAAAGTTGAGAAATTTTTCCCCTCTATTCCTGTAAAACTACTATGGGAGAAAGTGGTTGTGGAATGCAGAAGTTAGCTGCACCAGGTAGTTCTGGGAAAGCTTCATGCCTCGTCTTCACCTCTGCAGTCTCTGTTAGATCTTAGGAATTTATGTTTATTTACAGTCTGTTATTGGTAGTAAGTGCACCGCCTTCATTATTAAGCATCATTTGGAATTTTACCCAAATGAGAGGCTTTTCTAGAATTTATTTTTTTTCTTTCTGTTTTGTATTTTAGTTTAAAAGTTAACTGATAACATTTTCTCCCCAAAGTTGAATGAAGTAGAAGCTGTAGGCATTCGTTAGTTTATTCAGTACATATTTATGAGCTGTCCATGGTGTAGCAAGCAGTAGGTAGACATTTCCTCCATGGTCATCAGACCTTGTAGCTTTGGAACTTTCTTGGCGTTTCACTTGACATCAGCATTTAAAAGCCCCACACTTTATTGGAGTGATACTAAAGGATTCCACGTTGTTTCAGCAGAATTATAATTGTCACCTTATTCTACTAACATTGAGTTAAGTTCTTTTTCTCATTTCTTGTTTAATCCTCACCAAAAGATCAGGGAACAAAGTGTAAAAAGCACTCTCTAAAACTGTATTTCCCATTTCTACTCTAACACTGGCCTCTACGTCTTAACAGGCATTCCTTGAGAAGAGGTTCCAGTTGGTCCCGTGAGTTAAAAACATCGTTAGGTCCTAGCCGGTTTGGCTCAGTGGATAGAGCATCGGCCTGTGGACTGAAGGGTCCCAGGTTCGATTCCGGTCAAGGGCATGTACCTTGGTTGCGGGCACATCCCCAGTGGGGAGTGTGCAGGAGGCAGCTGATCGATGTTTCTCTCTCATCGATGTTTCTAGCTCTCTATCCCTCTCCCTTCCTCTCTGTAAAAAATCAATAAAATATATATTTAAAAAAACCACACACACACACACACACAAAATTGTTAGCATGGCTCCTCTTTCCCCATCTTTATAGGGTGCTAAGTGCACAAGACTCTGAGAGGTCCCTGCAGTAAATAAAGGAGTAACACCAGTTTCTAAGTTGATTTGACTATAACACCATTTTTCACATACTACCCTTTAAGAATCTAGAGTTCAAGGAACAGTGCTTTGGAAGGTAGTTTTCACCATAAGCTACAATAAACCTACATTCAAACACCAAAGGAAGTCCCGCTTCCTGGGTAGAGAAGTATACATTCGAGCCCATGAGAAGTTTCAAGTTGTACCAAACTCCTCAATGTCTCATAGAGAATTAGGAGGAACCTATAGATCTGTGAAGATTAATATAGGAAAAGCAGTCTTCTCTATAATGAATTCACTGATTCTTAGGAAACTAGATAGAGAATAAATTTCAAGAACCATTTTCTGAACTTTTAAGTTACCTTATATTCCCCAAATTTCCTTTCATATCCTTAATGAGATCTGTGTTATCTACATAGATGCCTTGCTCTGTTTTTATAGAGGGCTTTTAAGAATGTGGGGAGAACAGTAATTACTGTTATAAGAAAATTCTTCCATGGTATGAAATAAATAAAATTTGTCTATGGTTAGATTAAAACAAAACTAAATCTTTGGGTATTTAGTTAAAACTTTGATATTTACTTTTTATTATGTTCTGTTTTTTAAAACAGCCGGCAAATAGGTAGAACTTCCATAAATGACAATTTTGTTTCTTGTCTGTATTTGGCCTGTCATCTAACCAAATGGAATTGGTGTTAGCAGTGACCTCTGAATTCATATCTTAGTGTTTGGATGGGTTCCCCTCAGCTGCCACATGGTTCCAGATGGCCCCTTTGTTTATCTTTAAGGAGGGACTTGGGAGATTGACAGAGGCAAGGGCAGGGGTGCAAGCTAGGCCTCAGTGATGGGATTTAATCCCAATTCTAAATCTCCCCTGTCTGGTGTATATAATACAGTGAATGAAATTCCAGACTTTTTAGTGAGGTATTTGTAATAGAGACTCTGGACATAAAAACTCTTTATAATAAACATTTTCTCCCCAAGTTCTATAGTTAATTTTAACCAACTTTTCTATTTTTAATGTAAGGAAAGATAGCTGAAACCACAGTCCTTGCAGTTGGCCCAGTCTGGGTTGCTCCTAGTCTGGATTTGTAATCCTGCATTTTGGCAGAGGTTATTTATTTATTTTATTTTAATTCAAATGCAAATGTTTTTTAAATCCAAACTTTTTTGTTCTTAAAAAAATAGGAGCACCATTATTTTTCTTGTTATTAGCAGTACACATTAATTACAGAAACTTTATATTTACAAGTTACAATAAAAAAAATTATAATTCCATCATTTAGAAGTAACCACTGCTAATGCCTTAAGTATCCTTCCAGAAATATATATAAATATATCCCAGTGTGTGTGGTATATTTGTGTATTCTACCTTTATTAATTAGTTTTAAAAGTAGTTTTTATATATATACTTGAGGCCTGGTGCACGAAATTTGTGCCCAGGTAGGGTCCCTAGGCCTGGCCGGCAATCAAGGCTGATCTGTAGGGCGACCAGCACTGTGATGTGAGGGCGGGGGTCCCTACTGGCACCCACCTTGGCCATCCTGGAGCCTGGGGCTGGGGCAGCTCCTGCATTGAGCATCTGCCCCCTGGTGGTCAGTGTGCGTCATAGCGACCGGTCGTTCTGCCAGTCATTCTGCTGTTTGGTCATTTGCATATCAGGCGAGATATACACACACACACACATACATACATTTTTTTTTTTTTTCAGAGAGGGGGGAGGGGAAGAGAGAGAGAGAAACATCAATGATGAGAAAAAAATCATTGATCGGCTGCTTCCTACATGCCCTGCACTGGGGGTCGAGCCCACAACCTTGGCCTGAGCCCTGACCGGGAATCAATCCGTGACCTCCTCGTTCATAGGTTGACACTCAACCACTGAGCCACGCCTGCCGGGCAGAACAATATATTTTTATGATAGTAATTACATAGGGAGTCCCTATGAGATTTCATTTGATAAAATGAAAACTTAAAAAAAAAAAAAGAATTGTGATGTTAATAGCTGTGTATTTTTCCTTCTGTGTCTTATATGAACAACACCCTAGATTTTTCTGATTCTTTCTATTAAGAATTCAGAATACATCCTTGTAGCTAAGTATTCATGTACAGCATTTTCTTTCAAAATAAGTTACTTGAAATGGAATTGGTAGATCAACAGATTTTTTGTTGTTGTTAGTCCACACTGGAGGATATTTTTCCATTGATTTTTTTAGAGAGTGGAAAGGATGTGGGGGGAGACAGAGAGAGAGAAGCATCAGTGTGAGAGAGACACATCAATTGGTTGCCTCCCACATGGGCAACCCAGGTGTGTGCCCTTGACTGGAATCAAACCTGCAACCCTTCAGTCTGTAGACCGACACTATCCACTGAGCAAAACCGGCTAGGGCAGATCAAAGGATTTTGACATTTTTAAAGATATTTATCAAATACTGTAAAATTTCCCTCAAGAAAGTTTGTCTATGATTATTCGTCCCGTCCCGTCTCCCCCCCCCCCCCCCCCAGTCCTTTAAACACTGGAAATTGTCATTAACAAAAACTCAGAATAAACCTTTCAAGAATGGCCCTTGCACACATAGGAAAAAATATGTTAAGTCCTGGAGACCTTTTAAAATACAGCCCATCTCGTAGCTCAAGTTAAGTTTCAAGTATTGCAGACTCAGATGTCCCTAAAACCATGTGGGCCATGGGAGTGCCTGCTACGGGCCAGGGTGGATCTGACATAGGGAGCCTGTTGCTATGTCACAGAGTCAGTTGCATCTCACCTCCAGGCAATTGTTGCCAAATTATCCAGCTTCTCTCTGAAAATGACAGGCTGGGATATTTATGTAAAACCTCTCATTTTTAACTCAGCCTGTGTGGCTCAGTGGTTGAGCATTGATCTATAAATCAAGAGGTCAAGGTTCGATTCCTGGTCCGGGCACATGCCCAAGTTGTGGGCTCGATCCCCAGTAGGGGGTGTATAGGAGGCAGCCGATTGATGATTCTCTCTCATCATTGATGTTTCTATCTCTGCCTCTCCTTCCTCTCTCTGAAATCAATAAAAATATATTTGTTTTTTTAAAAAGCTCCCCATTTAAAAAATGTTCCAGAACATTTTATACAGCTGTTTTAAGAACTTGTTATGAGCAGTGTTTTGAGTTTATGTTTTATCTTAATACAGTACAATTCCACACATTTTTCATAGTGTGGTGATACAGATTGATGGTGATGTTGCACAAAGAAATATGTTAGAAGGTATTTCATAGGCTTTCACAGACAACTTCATCTCTATTTAAATGGGTAACACTGCAAAAATGGTGTTCTGAAATAATATAGTGGTTAAGGCATTTGAATAGAAAAATGTGTATCATTCATTCAACATTGGAGTATCTACTCCTATGCTAAGCACATATATTTATAGTATGGCATCAAGAAAAATTCATCTGTCTCTGGAATTTGAAGTTTAAGGCTTTTCTTTTTATCTTGAGTGTCCTGAACTGTTTTTGGTGCTCATTTTGACCTAGATAATGCTCACCAGATGCAGATCAGATAACCCAAATAGAACTTAAGTTTCTAAAAATTTGTAATTCCATCTCCATCTCTTTTTTTAGTATTCTCTTTCAGAACAAAAATATTTTCACTTTTAGTGTTACATACAAGTTAACAAGAATTTATAATACTTTATGACTTTCATCATCTGTAATTGTGATGTGTAGAGACCTAAAATGTAGTTTAATTTTTAAGAATATTTGATGATTTCAACAAATGATTGAAAACAATTGGCCATCCATATGCAAAAAAAAGAACCCTAACCTAAATGTGATACCCATAACAAAAATAAACTGAAAATGGATTATAGATCTAAATGTAAAACATAAAACTAAAAATTTAGAAGAAAGATATATTTACTGTGTGACCCAGGTACCACTCCTGTGTATTTACTCTTGAGAAATGAAGTTTTTGTCCACACAAAACCTGTGAAGTTTCATAGAAGCTGCATTCATAAGCACCAAAAACTGGAAACAACACACATGCCCTCCTATGGGTGAATAGTTATAAACAAACTGCAGTGTAGACATACAGTGGAATACTGCTCAGCAGTGGAAAGGAGTGATCATTAATACGCACAGCAGCTTGAATGAATCTTCAGAGGCATTATACTAAGAGAAAGAAGCCAGTATTCCGTCATTATCAGAAAGACGAAACTAGAGTGATGAAGAACAGATCACTAGTTTCTAAGAATGCAGGAAGGGCATGCCTACAATGAGACAGCACACGGGCGTTTTTTGGGGGTGAGAGAGCTATTTTATATCCTGATGATAGTGATCGATACTCAGAACTATATACCCCAAGAAGGTTAATTTTACCATATATTAAAAATGAAGCAAAAAAAGATCTTTTCTTTTCTTTGTACCTATATGAGAAGATGGGTGTTAGCTAAATCTATTATGGTAATCACTTCACATTTATGTGTAAATCAAGCCATCATGTTGTATGCCTTAAACTTACACAATGATGTATGTCAATTATTCCTCAGTAAAATTGGAGGAAATGTTTTTTAATGGAAAATAGTATGTGATGAAATAATGCCATTGGTTTTTCCTTAAAAGGGTTATAAAAATAATAATTGTTGCTAACCTTATTGTCTAAAATGAAGTGCTCAACTTGCTAGAAATGTTATTGTATAAGTTACATGAGAATCCAAAGCAAAACATTCGTTTGGTTTTTTGGTTGTTTTGGGGGTTTTTTTTGCTTGTTTTTTAAAATAGCACTTCTGATAACCTCAATTGCTATTGTGTGAGCCAAATAATAGCAAACTTTTTCACATGATATACTTTTCCTTTTAATTTAAGAATCAAATGGGCGACTCGAATATCTCCAGTCCTGGGCTACAGCCAAGCACTCAGCTCTCCAATCTGGGAAGCACCGAGACTCTAGAAGAGACGCCATCCGGGTTACAAGATAAGGTGTGTACAGCTAAAGCTCCAGCTTTGTCCAAGATAACAAAACACAGGGTAGCATTTTGTAAGGATTTTAATGCAGTACAAGTTTGATATGTCATTTATCTTCAAGGCACGTATAGGCAGTGCATAGTGATATTCACTCATGTCATTTCCCCTCATCCCCGTAACTGTCCTTTATCTGGATTTTATAGTAGTTTCTGTCTGGTTTCCACTTTTGCCCTTGTCACTCCGTTACCTATTCTTAACCCAGCTGCCAGCAAAATCCTGGCAAAACAAGTTAGATCATGACACTCCTCTGCTTAAAACTCTCCAGTGGCATCTATCTCACTCAAAGCCAAGGTCGTGGCAGTGGCCCACAAGGCCCTACTTGATCTGGCCCCACACCCTGGTCTCATCTTGTATCTCTGCCTGCTCACTTGACCCCAGCCTTGCTGGCTCTTCTGCCTTTCCACAAATGTGCCAGACTTGCTCCCTCCTCAGACAGGCCTTTGCACTTGTTGTTCCCTGGCCTGGAATACTTGCCTTCTGTGTATGGCTTGCTCCCTTTCTTCCTTCAGGTCTCAACTATCCTCTATATAGATGAGGCCTTCTCTCACCTCTCTATTTTAAATAACAATCCTTCCTGTGCTTTATTTTCTCCCTAAGACTTCTACCCGACTAACATGGTTGTGGTTTTCGTTTATATTCATTGTCTCCTCCCACCAAAATGTAAGCTCCATGGGGGCAGGCAGTTAGGTCTGCCTAGTTCAGCATCTATTCTTATTAGCATCAGCATTGTAAATATCTGTTGACTGAGTTAGTTTTCTTTATAACTGATGGCTTGATGAATGAACAGATACCAAATAAAACCCATCGTTTTTTAATTAAACTTTTTATTTTGAAGTAGTTATAGATTCACATGTATTTACAAGAAATGATACAGAAAGATCCCATGTAGCCTTCCCTCATTCCCCATTGTTAACAGCTTGCAGAATATAGTACGATATCACAACTAGGATGTTGACACATCTACCATCTAGTTCACATTTTCTCAGTTTTATTTGTATTCATTTGTGTGTGTGTATGTGTGTACATATTTAGTTCCATACAATTTTATCTGGTGTATAGCTTTGTGTATCCACCACCACAGTGAAGAAACAGAAGACTTCCATCACCACAAGGATCCTTAGTGTTGACCTTCTATTATCATACGGACTTCCCTGTCCTACCCTTCCTGCCTCCCCCCTCCTCATCCTTAACCCTAAACAGCTACTAATCTATCTCAGTTCTCTCCAGTTCTATCATGTTGTGATTTTAGGAATGGATTGACTCCATAATCCGCCCCTACACAGAGATAGTACATTTCTTTGGTAACACTGCCATCTAGTGCTGAGGAGCAAAGAATGCTCTCAAGCCTTAATAGTATTAAATTCCATATGTTTCATAATTCACTTATTAGAATTCCTTTGGGACTATTTTTCTAGTTGGTTTTGTTTTGTTTTGTTTTTATTCCTATGTTAGGAGTAATGCATACCCTCTTGTGTGCTCAGTTTACTGGCCAGGTAGGAAATCTGACATGGACACAATAGAGCCAAACATATACGAAATTCTCTAAATATGGAGAGCTGTGGGATGAGGAAGGAACAGTGTAAAACCTGACACAGTATATTAAAATTTTGGCACGTACCATATATGTTGTTGTTCACTGAATTCCATCTCCCAGGGGAAATGGTCAGACTAACACTTGATTTAGTGAGGCGTTATAAAACTCAGAATCCAAACCTGAAGCATATCCAGACATGAGGAAAGAGTAAAATTTAACCTTTTCTATGGATGATGGAAGAGGAGTCCATGACTATAGAAGCCCAGTTTCTAGAGGAATGTAGCCAGTTTTTCTTGTCATGGGGTCCCCTCAGGCGCAGAGACTGTAGAGCTGTTGGGGGCTTGTGTGGAGAAGCAGGCTCTGCTTATAAAGTTCAGCCTCTGTGACTGATTCGCCAGTTGTCTATTCCATTAGTTGGTACATCTTGACCTGTAGCCACCTCTTAGTTCTTTAAGCTTTAGCTGCACCTTTGTTTTCCAAAGGTTAATATTACTGTTCAGTTGATTAGGTAACCTATAGTCTGCTTAATTGACACCTCGTGTGGTGGCATAATGGGAAGAATGTGGACTATGTTAGAACTAGATTAGAGTCTGGTCATTTGTACTCGGGCATCATCTATAAAATGGCAACAATAATAGTAGTGCCCTACAGATTAAGAGAGTAACACACAAGTGTTAGAATCTGTTTCTGGCCTGGCAGAAGTTATAGGGAGGCAGCACTGAGAAATCTGGAAACTTTCTGTGTTTTTTTTGTAGTCCAGGTTCAAAGTTTCGCTATATAGTTTTATTTTTTAATATGAAGTAGGTTTTAAACCATTAGAAATAGTTATTTTTAAGCGTAAGTGTAGAAACATTCCAAATGTAAATACATGTTGTTTTAGTTTAAAAGTTGATTGATGGTCCACCAGGTAGGTAAAAATTGCTGCCTAGATCCTGACATTCTTGAAGCGTAAGGTGTATTTCATGGGGAGACTTTTCCATGTCCTATTGTTCCTTTTCTTATGACATAAAAATAGTATTCTTACCTGGGAAAGACTTAAATTTCTGGAAAATAGCCCTTATATGGTCTATGTTTTTCAAAGCAGTTATATCTAAATGTTGGTTTCTCTCCATATATATAAATCTATATACATATATAACAGAATGTGGTGGTAAAGATCTACATAATTTGCATCAATGAATAAAAATCAGTGTAGTTTTCCAGCACTTTTTTTGCCAGGCATCTTGATCATTTTGTTTTAAACATAATGTGTATAAAAAGGAATTAACCCAAATCAAAAATGGGCAAAGGACTTGAATAGACATTTCTTCTAATAAGATAAACAAATGGCCAACAAAGATTGGCAAGAATATGGAGAAATTAGAACCCTCTTGCACTGCTGAAAGTAACATAAAATGGTGCAGCAGCTGTGGAAAACAGTTTGGCAGTTCCTCAGAAAGTTAAGTGTAGAATTATAATATGATCCAGCAATTCAGTTCATGGACATATACCCAAAAGAATTGAAAACAATGACTAAAACTGATTTATTTACACTAATGTTCATAGCAGCGTTATTCACTATAGCCAAAAGGTGGAAAGGACCAAAGTGTCAATCATTAGATGAGTGAGTAAACAAGATGTGATATATGCATACAGTGCAATATTATTCAGCCTTAAAAATGAATGAAATTCTGACACATGCTACAACATGGATGAACCCTGAAAACATGCTAAATGAAATAAGCTAGTCCTAAAAGGACAAATATTGTATGATTGCACTTATACAAGGTATCTAGAATAGGCAAATTCATAGAAACAGTAGAATTGAGATTATTAGGGACTATAGGTAGGGTGGTGGAGAGAGGAGAAAAATAATTATTTGCCATTGGAGAATTCCTTCACTTAAACAAACCTCTTGTCACATTAATTTCTCAAAATATATTATGTTAGCTTTTAAAAATTGATAGAATTCTCTTCATTGAGTATATTCTAAGATAAAATTGTTTGATATGAAATTTCAGTTCTTTACAACTGGGGGAGGCTTCTGCCTCTTCCTCAACAACAGTTACTTGGAGCTGCCATCATCTTCCTCAGACCTGCTCTGCCACCTCACCCAGCAGCTGACACGTCCTCACCAGGGCATTCCCTTCACTTGTAAACTGCCTGCGTCCTCTGTTCTCAGCACTGGCCTCCTTCCCCTGTTGTCTCTCCTTGACAAAGGGGAGAGAGAGAAAAATGATGTGAGAGAGAAACATTGATCAGCTGCCTCCTGCATACCCCCTAATGGGGATGGAGCCTGAAACCCAGGCATGTGCCCTGACTGGGAATCAAACCGGTGACCTTTTGGTGCATGGGGCGATACTCAATCCACTGAGCAACACCGGCCAGGCAAATGCTTTGGCTTTTTTTGAAGACTTTGTGACTTGGGAGTAGAATGAGAAAGGCCTATTTTTTTTTTTTTAATGGTTACATTTATTTTCTGATATTTGAGACCCAGCTGAGGTGCAATGCCTAGCTTTGTATCAAGAGTCGTCAAAATAGCCCTAACCGGTTTGGCTCAGTGGATAGAGCGTCGGCCTGCGGACTCAAGGGTCCCAGGTTCGATTCTGGTCAAGGGCATGTACCTTGGTTGCGGGCACATCCCCAGTAGGGGGTGTGCAAGAGACAGCTGATTGATGTTTCTCTCTCATCAATGTTTCTAACTCTCTATCCCACTCCCTTCCTCTCTGTAAAAAATCAATAAAATATATTTTTTTTTAAAAAAAGAGTAGTCAAAATAAAAGTAGGATTACTTGATCAGCATTTGGTCCCTCTGTCCTCCTGAGTGTTATTTCCCTACATGTGTTACTGACATGGGGCAATAGGCACAATTAACTTTGTAATAAGGTAATTGTCCCCTCACCTGATATCAGTCATTTGCCCAGGAAAAAAGTGAACTCTAACACTGTTATCTGGAGTCCCTAAAATTTGAATTTTATTACTAGTGCATGTTTGTTTGTTTGTTTTTTGTTGGTTTTTTTTTTTTTTCGAGAGAGAGAGACATTAATTTGTTGTTCCACTTATTTATTCATTCATTAGTTGATTCTTGTATGGTCCTCCTGACCGGGGATCGAACCAGGAACCTTGGCGTATCGGGACAATGCTCTAACCAACTGAGCTTCCAACCAGGGCTACTAATGTAGATTTCTACCCACCAACCTGGGGAGACTAGATGCATCTTGGCCTTAATCGCTGGTACATCTTCACTTTGTTCCATTTTCTTATTTTCAGACTCCATCCATCCTTGCTTCTGCAAACTGTTTTTGATTGATGAAAAAGTGTAGTTACACTGGTTTGCAAGAGATGTCTTTCATTGGTGGTTTTGTTTGTTTTCCAGTCTGCTCCATCAGGACACAAACACCTGACGGTGGAAGAATTGTTTGGAACCTCTTTGCCAAAGGAACAGCCAACAGTTGTGGGTCTGGATTCAGAAGAAGTGGAGAAGCTGCCAGGAGATGCCCCTCAGAAAGAACTCAGCTCATTCCTACCATTTTCCTTTGAGCAGTCAGGAGGGACTCCTCGGTCAGAAAACCCGCGTGCCCATCCCGCTGCCCACCACTCAGCCCAACCTGAAGTCACTGCCCCGGTGCTAATCACTCCTGCCTCCATCTCACAGTCCAATGAAAAGCAGCTCCCAAGCTATGCGATCCCATTGCACCCTGGGCTCAGCCCCACTCTACCAGCAGAAGCTCCTACTGTACAGGTTCCCCCCTGCTTACCCCGAAACACCACCATGATGCAGGCAGTGAAGACCACGCCAAGACAGAGGTCTCCACTCCTGGGTCAGTCAGTCCCCGAGCTGAGCCATGCCAGTCTGACTGCCAGTCAGAGCCCCTTCAGGGCCCCTCTGAGCGTGACAAATACTGCTGGGACAACCCTCCCAAGTGTTGATCTTCTCCAGAAACTCAGGTTGACCCCACAGCATGACCAAATACAGACACAGTCGCTTGGGAAGGGTGCAGTGGCACCCAGCTTTCCTCCAGCAGCTGGCCAGCTGGCCACACCTGAGAGCTTCATAGAGCCTCCTCCTAAGACAGCAGCAGCAAGAGCCTCCACCGCCCTGAGCAACATGGTGCTTGCTCCCCCTCAGGTACTGCAGGAGGGTGGTGCTTTAACCGAGTGGGGGGAACTGGAAAGACCATATGCTTTTACCGATTTTAGAGGGAGAGGGATAGAGAGAGAGAAACATAGATGAGAGAAACATTGATTGGCTGCCTCATGCACGCCCCACACTGGGGATCGAGCTCCAAACCTGGCATGTGCCCTTACTTGGAGTCAAACTGTGACCTCCTGGTTCATAGGTCGATGCTCTACCACTGAGCCACGCCACCAGGGCAAGACAGAGTCATTTTATTTTATTTTATTTATTTTTAATCTTCATCCAAGGATATTTTTCCATTGATTTTTAGAGAGGGAAAGACAGAAATATTGATGTGAGAGAAGCACATTGATTGGTTGCCTCCTGCACAAGCCCCGACCAGGGCCCAGGAAAGGGAGGAGCCTGCAACCAAGGTACATGTCCTTGATCAGAATAGAACCTGGGACCCTTTGGGCCACAGGCTGACACTCTATCCACTAAGCCAAACCTGCTAGGGCCTTACCCAGCAGAACTTAAATATACTGTGTTCTTTAGAAAATGGGAGCTCTTACCAGGATGGCACTGGATAACACCTTTGGCAAAGACTTCAGGATCTTGGTTTTGCTGCATAGACCAATGTTTTAAAAAAGAGAGATGAACAGATGTAGCACGTTTCAATAAGGATTTCCTAGTTACTGAGGAAAATTGTAGGTTAGCAATAGGAAACGTTAGCAGCTAGTCCTAGATTCCTGACGGAAGAGGCTGACAGGAACTTGTGACAGTGTAGCTGATGATGCAACAGGATGAGAGCTTCAGGACGGATTCTGACCCTCTTCACACCGCAAGGAGGTGTGTGCAAAGCCTTAACTGTGTCTCTGAGGAAAAAACTGAAACCTGTGACTTTTGTAAGAGCTGTTGTTGCTATTGAGTCTGCAGATGTGCAAGGTCCTGGCAGCACACCTCTGGATGAGGCTCTTTAAACTTTGGACAGGTAGCACTAAACGGCCTTTATCCAGAGTCACGCTTACACATGCGAAATCTTGTCCTCATTCACTGGGAGAGAAAGAACTTCTAGTTGTAGAGCACACACATTAGGACTCAATGAAGCCCCAGCTCCTAAAATTCGATACTGCCAGGTAATTGAGAAAATACACATACATATGCTGCCCTTGAAAGGAGGCATTCAGGATTGATGGCTGCACTCCCACAGCAACAGGAAGAGTGGCAGCAAACGCATTTTAGGGCACAAGACCTGTTACATAGGACACTCTCCTTCCCCCTTGTGCTGCAGAGAACCTCAAGAGAACTGGCCCAAAGTGGCAATTTAATAAGCTTCAAACCTGGGATGCTCTATGGCACCCTAGTGTGCCTGCACAAGGTAGACACTGAAGGAGGACTGAAGGAGTTGGGAGTTGAACAAAGCTTGGGATAATTTGAGTGGTCCTGAGTCAAATGAGGACTTCTGGAACTATCAGGCAAAAACAAACAAAAAACCCTAAAATGGCCCGTCCAGTGTCGCAGTGGTTGAGCATCAATCCATGAACCAGGAGGTCATGGTTCGATTCCCGGTCAGGGCATAGGCTGGGTTGTGGGCTTGACCCCCAAAGGGTCCCGGGTTCCATTCCGGTCAAGGGCACATACCTTGGTTGCAGGCTCCTCCCTGACTCGGGCTCTGGTTGGGGCTCTTGCAGGAGACAACCAATTGACGTGTTTCTCTCACATTGATGTTTGTCTTTCCCTCTCTCTTCCACTCTCTCTAAAAGATCAATGGGAAATATCCTCGGGTGAGGATTAACAACAACAAAAAGTTCTGGGTGTGAAGTAAAGCACTGTACTTGACTGAAAAGTTCATAGCTTTCAAGCTAGACTCGTAGATACCCCCCATAGGCCAGGCTCCTCTGCGACCCCAGGCAGTTCATTACTGTGGCTTCTGTAGACTCGAGTCATCGCTGTGTGGATGTCTTCCCTGACTGTACACGTGCAGGGTCAGCCACAGGGCAGACATTTGCTCAGTGTTTGTGAATGGGTGGGTGACTGCTCAGAACACAGCAGTCTGCTTCTCTGAGTAGGAAATACGCTTTGCCCTGGAAGAGCTGTGATGTCCCAGTTAGCAAAGGGCAGTGTCACTGCCTGCCACAGTGCTCTCCTTGGCTTCCTGTTGCCCTGACAACAAAGCCTCCCAGGCCTGTGTGCTCTGTCTTGTTTATCCTCCCCTGCCCCATTTTTAAAAATTGCCCCCACCCTCAATTACCTGCCAACCTTGAAAATGCACACTTATTTTTTTTTTTCATTTCTAAAATTTTACATTCCCATTTGCCTTTGAGCCTTTTCATTTCGCCTCATGTCTCAGATTTTACACTAAAGCCAGCTTCTGACTGGTCTTGTCAACCAGTCTTTTCTGTAGCTTGTCCTGCTACATGGTGATTGGCGGGATCTCAGCCTGGTGCTGCACACACACAAAAAAGCTAAATGGCTCAGACACCAAAATTATACCCACAAAACCGTGACAGGCTCTTTGCTATTTGTATATGAGGAGGGTGACAGATAGAGAAATGTAGATCTCTTGTTGATTATAGCAAATATGAGAATTATTAAAACTGATTATTCTTAGCTTAGTATGTTTTGATGGTTAGCCATTACTAGCCTAGAAGCACATCTAAATGGGGAAGGAGGTAGATGTTAGTTTTATTTTTAAGAAATTCTATCTTTGATACCAGCAGTAGTATAGTAAATATATTGAACACTACAAAAGAAACAAATGCTATGTAACTGGATTTTTTAAATTCTCTTCATTGAAGTAAAATTTACATATACTAAAATGCAGATTTTTATGAGTTTTGACAAACGTCTATCCCTCGAGTAACCTCACCCAATCACAATATGTAACATTGCCATCATCCCTAACGTTTTCTCATGTCCTCTTTCAGTCATTTTCTTGCCCCCCCCCCATAAAAAATTTACATTTTAATTTATCATAGGATTGTTCTTACTGTGTGTACATACCATGCTGGTTATTCATCATATTCCCCTTCTTTAGTGATCAGACTTGGCTTCTCATAACAACTCTACAGAATTCTTAACACATAAATGGACTCTTCATCCTATAGCTGACACGTTTCCTAACCAGACATAAATGCTTCCACTGAATGCTTATCTGAACTCCAAATGGTTAGCGTTGGACTCTGCTCCAGTCTCCTTCTGCTTATCGGGTTATCGGGTGTTGCTTCCTTTGAGCCTGGCTGCTGGCTTCTGCACTTTGATACAGAAATGACCATTGTTCCCCTGCAGGCTGTAGGTCCCCCCCTGGTTACTACCGCTGTAGTGTCTTCAGTGCTGCTGTCCCCGAGTGTTTTCCAGCAGACAGTGACCAGGGCCACAGACCTGGAGAGGAAAGCAAGCTCCCCTTCGCCTCTGACAGTTGGAACGTCGGAAAATCAGAGAAAGCCTTCCATCATTCTCAGCAAGTCTCAGCTCCAGGATACATTAATACATCTAATTAAGGTATGTAGTCTTTGAATTTTCATTCTTTAATTTTAAAAAATTACAAGTTTTAGAAATTAGCTAAGTAAGTTAATTCAGGACTAGATGGAAGTAATGTTATTCTCTTCCTGAGCTTATAGGTGGAATAATATCTGAGTGAATTATTAATCATGGTGTTTCTGGATGGTAAGATTCTATGGGTAACTACTTATACAAATCATTTGTAACTAGTTACTCACACAGCTTTTTCCTAAGCTGTTACCAAGGATGTGAGTTCTGCCCTGCCTCGTGTGGCTCAATTAGTTGAGCATCATATCATGCACCAAGAGGTTGCAACCTGGTCAAGGCACATGCCCAGGTTGCCGGCTTGGTCCCTAGTAGGGAGTATGTAGGAGGCAGCCGATTGTTTCTCTTCCTCTCCCTTCCTTTCTCTAAAAATCAATACAAACATATTTTTTAAAAAATAGGACATGAGCTCTGATGAGGTAACTGACATTACCATCTCTTCCAGAATGACTCCAGCTTCCTCAGTACACTTCATGAAGTCTACTTGCAGGTTCTGACCAAGAACAAGGACAACCACAACCTATGACTGGAGCAGAAACCAGCCTGAAAACAGAATATCAACCTCAGAAACAAATAGGCCTCATCATGAGAACTTCTGAACAGAACATTGAGTTTCTAGAATCCTGAAATTGAGCCTATGAGAAAGAGACTCATTCCTTAAGAATGTTTTCCAAGTGACGTTCTCAGTGATAATGGAGGTTTCACTGTGAAGCATCACCAGCAGACCTTTGTTTTGACAAAAAAAAAAAAAAAGACCATTGTGTTAAGTTGTGTGGGTGTTTTCATCAGCTGTAAGCACCTGTGTGAAATAAGGAGTCTGAGTTTCAACTGCTTTCGCTTTTGAAGTCTTAGGGAGGAGGGTCCCCAGCCTTGCCGCAGTCAGAGTTCAGCCCAGCCTGTACACACACACCCCCCCCCCTTTCCCCCCAGGAACGTGAGCATTAGGCTGAGAGTCAAGTTTGAGCAGCGCAGAAGCCAACTCTGTGCAATGTCGTTTCCAGTTGTAAGGATCAGAATTTAAATGGGCAAGTTAGGACTGGTTTGTTCAAGTGAAGTATATTTTATATGAGTGCTCCATTTGGGCCTTTAAAGTCCTGAAAATTGTGTTTTGTTTTTAAGAGTCCTTAGCGCTGACATGCAGCAGGTTCGTTCCCATATGGTGGCGAGAGAGCAGGCACGTCACACCTCTGAAGCAAAGGCTGAGGCTGGTAAAGCTCAAATTCTATCAGAAATCTTCACTTTAAGTTAAACTCTCCAGTGGTTTTGAAAACGTTACATTTGTGTGTGAAGCATAGCCTTATTTTCCTTTTCTGTGTGAACACAGAGGTCTTTGTTGATTGTTTTCCTTAACACTTTGACAAAGGACCAGTGGACCAATCTGACAAAGCCATTCTGGTTCCATTCCTCGAGTCTACTGAGAATAATTTTGAAGCTATGCAGAAAAGGGAGCTGTTACTTACACTGCCCTTACCTTACTGTAGTATACGGAGTTCAAGCAAAGCAAATTCAGAACTTTACCAATGTATTCAGGCTGTGAGTACTTTTGCAGCCAAAGTGTGAAAATATGTAAAGATGCTTTGTTATGCTGCTATTAATCTGCCAGGATTTATATTTATTCTTTTATGGCATGTAATGGTGATTAGTAATATTTTAATGTAGATTTTGGTTTATTTCAGCAATAGTAATTTTAAGATATTCTTTGAATGAAAGTGTCTTTGTTTCTATGATACAGGTCATTTTGTAGTATTTAACCAATTAAGATGCACTGCTTACTTTTCTGAGCACTATTTAATGATTGGGTAAAAACCCTAGTGGCTCAACCAGCTAGCATAAGGATTAGCTGTGAATAATGCTGACAGATGTGATAGTTCCTCGGGAACAATCAGTTAAGCTTTAATGGTAACTCAGTCATAAGCCCATAGATTTTGTTTCCTAGTTGAGATTTTAGAAAATTACCTGTGAATTGCATACTTGTTTTAGTTTGGTCTTAGTCTTTTAGCATAAAGAATGCTTTGTTTGATTGGCTTTATTCATCTAAACATGCTTCTCTGGCAACTTTTCTGCTTCTCAATTTAGTGTCTTCTATTGCATCTACTTAGTTATTTGTGAATTGTGCAAAAGTCAGGAAAACTTATAAGTTCTCATACTCAATTAGGAATAGTTTGTTTTCAAAGGTAGTGTGTAAGTTCAGCAACCAAAAATGAATTGCTGGTGTATCACAGGGAAAGGGAAGGTTACAGTAGGATCAGAGAGTCCTGTCCACGGAGCCACACGACTGTTCTCAGAAAACAGTTGCACCAGTAGGTTTGATCACACCCAAAAGTAGTCTCAGTGGGCTTTGGTAAGCAGAAGAATCAAGGGATTCTGGTTATAATTAGTAGACATTTGAATTGACATGGTGATTTGAGTATGTATAATATTAGGAGAGTTAAGAGAGAATATCCTAAGAGGGTCTGTAATCAAATCTGTTCATTTTCACCCTTTAACCCAAGGGAATAAATATGATAGATGGAAAAGAGAATCTGTGATAAGGTTTCCTTAATGTGAAAGTAAATTTTAAGTGCCCAAGTCATGGAGATTTGAAAAGGTGATGCCTGTTTCAACTCCCAAATTTAAAGATTCAGAGCATGTATTTAAAGTTCAGAAGCCAGAACTTCACCATTATGATTACCTGGAAGTTTGGGCCAGAATGAGTTCCTAAGAAAGTCGGGCCAAGCCTGGATAGTTGCAGTTAGATGATCCTGGCCCAGAAGTCCGTTCAGTTGCCTTATTCCTTTCAGGCTCACTGTCCAGAACCTCGTGCTAGCTTGGGTTGCGTGTTTACATTGCTACCGTGTCTTTTCTGGAACCTTAGTTGAATCGTAATGGACACCAAAACAGAGAGGCTTCTTGCTAGGTTTTGCGGGAGTGACCGCTCTCCTGTTGTGGTTAATGTGCTGTTTTGAATGGACTCCCAGACGACCTTACTCCTTTAGGCAGAAGCCCCTCCTCACTGTGCATCTCCTGAGATTTGTAAGGTGTGACTTTGAATCCTATGTTTTCAAATGACGGTCAGTGTCAGGAGAAGCATTCCGTGCTGTCTGCATGTGAGTGTCCACAGCTTTCCTTCTGAGGCTTTGGGTCACCGTCAGTGGTGTTTGAAGAGCCGAAGGTGACCTGGGTCCTCCTCTGCCTGAGGATGGCAGGCTTTGTGTAGGCTATGTCTGCCCCAATTTTGCATGTCAAGCATTTGTTCCTTTTCCACCTATGTTTTCCTATAAAAATTGTAAACCCCATCAAATCCTCTAGTTAAATATTTTTAAACAATGCAGCTTTATTACTCTCCTCCCCAAAGAATGTAGTTGGAAATTTTCTCATTTTGGTAGTAGAGGCCATAACTGCCATTGTATTACTAATAATGCAACATGAAATTGAAGGTGCCTAACTGCTTAAAGAAACAAAATCAGCCATCAAACTGTAACTCTGGGCAAATGCAGAAACACGGAGGAATGAGAGGCGGTGCAGGCACGCGTGGGCCCCGTCCGCGTGAGCAAAGACCAGGAACCACAGGGACGTGTGTCCTGCGTTCTCGCTGCACATTCGCTGTTGAGCATGTGTTTCTCTCTTACCTGTCTTTGGTTTTCTTCGCTTGTATTCAAAGTACCTTGTGCCCTGTGTTTTCAGGTGCCTAAAATGTTAAGATCTGCACCAAGTAAAGCAACTAACACTGGGCTTTTTGAAAGCTGTGTCCCTGAGTGTGCTGGGGCCTCAAGGAGCCTGTTTTTCAGCAAGAGAGATGTGTGCAATGTTTCACTTGGTTTTTATATTTGATTTGATATCTTCATTAAATGCTGAGATGCAATATCGTTCACTTAGAGTGGGGAAGATGCAAGATTGTGTTTCCCTTTTACCTGTGTGATTCTATGTTCTAAGTGGTTTTTATTCTGTACCACCGCTTTGGCCACGTGGCTCTCGTGACTTTCAGTGTCCCAGAGTCCCAGCTCCCCGAAACATTTGGGGGGGGAGCTCTGGAATTACAGTGAGATTTTTGTTCCATGAGCGCAATACTGCATCATTAACATTTTTAATGGTATGAATTTTATACCATCTGTGTATGTTTGCAAATATTAAGTTATTACATGTTTTCAAATGAGCATTTTTCATCCTAAATTTTATATGTTTGCAAATATATTTTTTTAATAAAAGTTCGAAACCAAGTTTTACCACCTAATAAATTTTAATTGTGTTTTTATTTAATGTATAGAAATAGAATCTTTTGAATGAGTTGCTCCACTTTGCCAGAGCCTAATACTGGTGAGATGGGGTGGGGCAAGAGAACAAAACTGACAAAACCTTTGTCTACCTACTTCCACCCTGTTCCAGCCGGTTGGATCGCAGGCCACATGGTTCCCAGGTCAGAAGCCTTGAATGAGTGGACTTCCAGAGAATTTCATCTCCTCTTTCTATCTCTGATGTGTCCCTGCCCCCAGACATTGCCCCTCCTAGGCCTCTCCCAGGCCCGGTTCTTTCCCCCAAATAGAGCTAATAGAGAGGTTCCCATCCTGCCGGCACTTCCCCAGATGGAGGATACAGTTCTAATCACGACCAGAAACACAGTTTATAAGAAACTTTACAGTCTGGGTCATTTCCCAGAGTCATTGTTTCATGTGTATTGAGCTGTCAATGTGTGCCAGGCATCTAGGAAGGTAAGGAAAGAAAGGGAGTGAGGAAAGTAAAATGTGATCATTGTGGGAAATAAAGAAAAGTTTAGCCCTAACCGGTTTGGCTCAGTGGATACAGCATCGGCCTGCGGACTGAAGGGTCCCAGGTTCAAGGTCAAGGGTGGGTATGTATCTTGGCTGTGGGCACATCCCCAGTAGGGGGTGTGCAGGAGGCAGCTGATCGATGTTTCTAACTCTTTATCCCTCTCCCGTCTCTGTAAAAAATTTTTA